CAGCAAGAGAGGCCGCGATAGTGAGAGGCCCGCGCACCGCGATGAAGTGTGGCCCCCGTTTGCCACAACTAGAGAAAGCCCTCGCACAGAAACGAAGACGCAACACAGCCATAAATAAATAAATTTAAATCATACGGGCTTCTAAGAAGACCTCTGCTTAAAAAAAAAAAAGTATCTGAGGGCTTATACACACAGAAAACTCTTTCATTCACATGTAGACCAGCAAAGCATCAATGAACGGGGGAAAGAGTGGAGAGTCTGTGAAAAGAGGGCAGAGAGAACAGATCCTTGGATCCCAGGGGACTGTCAACCCCTCCAGGAGCCGTGAGAGCTGATGGGAAGCTCCACGGGAGGTGACAGCAGGGAGCCCCGGACTGGACAGACTGACCTTGTGCTGGAGCCGGCCTTTCCCCGAGGGCCCTGATACACGGCTGTTTCCAGCGGGCACCGTCTCGGCCGGTTGACGATGCAGTTCGGCACCTCCCCCACCAACCTGCTGTTCTTCTGCTGCTCTCTCATCTCCCCTGTCTCCCCGGAGTCCTCCTCAGCTCCGCCCTCACCGTCACCCACACCCACTTTGTGTCTCTCGGGGTCCCCGTCTTAGGGTCGCTGGCAGCTCCCCACGCCCCTTGCAGGCAGGCCCCGTGGTCCCCCTCCTGGCTGGAGAGGCAGCAGTTGAACGGGGTGTCCAGCTTCAGGACGGCCCCGCCCCTCTACCAGACATGGCTTCTGAAAAGCAGATCTTTTGAGGTCCTCCCCGCTCAGCACCCATCCGCGCTCTCCATTGTCACAGAATAGAAGCCAAGTCCTTGGCCCACGAGACCTGTACAGGGGAACACTGCTGGGGGATGGGGCGGGGAGGGCGAACAGTGACCGTCTCCGAGGCTTCGGCCCCAGGGGTCTTGCTCTTCCCCCTGCCCCAGAAAGCTCCGGGGCCGTGGGGGGTTCCTGAGCCCGCTCGCAAGGACCCCCGCCCACCGTGCCCTGTTCTCAGGCCTCCCGCGTCCTGCTGGCACCTGCGTGGCCCCAAACCGCAGCTGCCCTGACAGCGGGGACCGGGAGGCTGGGCCCGGGAAGTGCGGTTTCGCTGGCCAGCGGAATGGGAAACAGTGTTTATTCTGCGGTAAGTATAGCTTCACAGGAAGCTGTAACGTGGACGTTCGTGGGGTCCCCAGTGCCCCACACTGGCTCCTGGCGCACACGGCATCAGCAGCGTGAGACGCGCGGGCGCAACCCGGGCTCGTCCAGGTGCCACCAGTGTGTGCAGAGTTCCACGCGACTGTCTCACATCTGTGGCCCTTGTGGCCGCCCGCATGATCCCGGTGCAGAGCTGTTCCCTCCCCACAGCCTCCTGCACCCCTGATGGCGGCTCCTCTCCTCCCCCGTCTAATCGCAGCTTCCATCTCAGTAGCAGCATCATTTCTGGAATGCTCTATGAAGGGGTCGCACGTGCACAGCCCTGTGAGCTTGCCTTTGCATTCACCTCGCTTCCCTGGGGGTCCATCTGAGTTCTTAGTGTCTAGCTGACTTTGGGTGATGTGTCTTGCCCGTTCCTGCATGGGACTGGCCGCCAGCTACAGTATCACATGGGTGACGATAGCTTTTCTCCAGTTGTTCTCTATTTGTTCAATAAACATCGAGTTCCTGCTTGATGCCAGGAACGCACCAAGGAGAGACAGATGAATCAGGTGTATTTCTGACTCTGACAACCTTAAAGCCTGTGGAAGAATTTACAACCCATTAGACCCACAGGATGATTTATAGACAAAATGGAAAACAGTGATATTCCGGATTTTCTGTGTAAAGACCAGAATAGTGTGAGGGGCTCAGGGCCGTGATCTGGGTCAGGGATGAGGAAGGTAACCAGTGGACTGTCCAGGTGTGTTGTTGACGTTTGTATTGTGTATACGGCTCTTTACCAACGCCTGAGAAAATGGTGATGTTGATAATGTGACGATGCTGTAATGGTGTGAAGTTGAGGAGTGAAATCTGCATCCGAGCTGAGCAGAACTGCACCGGAAATGATCCGCAGGCCCCACGCGGCCGAGGCCTGGTGGCTGGAGGTTCCCCTGCCCTCTGCTGGCCTGGAGAGAACGGGCAGCTGCTCCTCCTGTCCTGTGGGGATGAATTTCCCTGTTTGTGAGGACAGGAGGGCATCACCTAGAAATCCCCCCCTGGGCTTTGGACCACGGAGCTGGGTGACGAGACACCAGCCAGGAGACGGTGGAAGGACCAGAGGACACGGAGCATCACCTTGCTCACAGATAATGAGGTTGGACACACCTGAGGCGGAGATGACCTTGGCTCCCGGGGACCCTGCCCTGGTCCTCTCTTCCCCTGCTCACCCACTACTTGCCACAGGTCACTAAGCATCTGAGATTAGGTTTCCAGCTGCAAAGACTTGTCCACTGGGTCTCCCACTCTACCCTGGCCTCAGTGGCCCCCTCCTCTCTCCTCCCAGGGGGAGGTAGTATTGGGGAGTGACCTGGGGATGCACACTTTGTCATGGCCCTGCGGCAGCCGACCCTGTCCCCCTGACATAGACAGCATTCACTCACACGGCGTCTGGCTGATCTTAATTCCCAGGAATGACAGGCCTTTCCAGTGCCAAAGAGACGACAAACTTTGGGTGAGAAGAATATATATGGAAATGTTCAGATAAAGCAGAGGATGGACCACAGGACATTTACTGTGGAGCTGATGAAGCTGGGACTTCTGGGATCCTGGGAGAAACCTCAGTGACTTGTTCTTGTGCTTATGTGTTTCTGTAATGTTGCCAAAGGGAGATGCAATCCTGCCGTTTACCTGGAAGAGGCAGACAGGGAACAGCTGGTAATCAGCACTAACTGACTGACTACCACGAGTCATGATTTAAATATTTTAAAGTCTGTCAGGAGATGTGCAAGTTGAGCGAGACACTTAACCTCCCTGCAGTTCACTGTGCTCGTCTGTGGGATGAGAGCGCTTACTGCAGTCTATTCCGAGCCCTTTCTGTGGATTCTCTCACTTGATTCACCAGTTATCCTATGAGAGAGGAACTTTTATTCTCTCCAATTTACAGGAGGAAACAGGCAGAATTTAAGCGATTTTGCTTTAAGCCGCAGTTGGAGGCAAAGCTGGCAATCAAAGGTCAGGGGAGTCTGACTCCAGAGCCCAGGCTCAAGGGAACGGCAGCACGTTTTCAGCAGCACGTTTTCAGCAGGGCTGTCCTGCAATTCAATTCCAATAAATTAACACAACAAACATCTCTTGGGTGTAACCTCCTGGGTGTCTGTTCGTGCAAGGACCCCCCTGTGAAAACTAGGAGATAGTTTACAGGGAAGTGTTTTGGAGAAGTCCTACTGTTTTTAAAGTAACTGGGCAGAGACAGGACTTCTAATTTCTCAAATCTATAAGGGATAGAGATGTTTTTAACAGGTGACCGAAATCCTCCTCTGTTCAAACATCCATATACTGGAGTGGTTAATTTCCCCTCCCCCATGACAGGGTCAGAGTAGAGGCAGCCTGAGGAGACCTGTAAGAGTTCAGACCCCTTGGAGGTGCAGTTGTAACTGAGGCACCGCGTCCCTGGCTCAAGCCCCCCACCACCCTCGAGCCCCAACCCCCGGCCGGGCACTCTGTGCAGGCCTGGTCCTCGATGCCACACCACGAGCAGCCTTCCAGCCCGTCAAATCCAGCCATGTCGGGCTGCATCTGGTCACCTGTGCGCGTCCTGCGCCCACCAGGGCCCCTGGCAGTGGATTTCCTCAGGACCTGTCTGCTCTGCTTCTGCTGGTTTCGCTTATGGACCAGCTGAATGGTCGATGACAGAGATGAGCTCCAAGTTCACTGTGTTCTTGCCACAGGGCCCGAATTCAGGCTGCTGGGAAGCTGAGCTCTAATAAGTAACCAAAGGCGAAAGCATGTGTGTGCGTAATCCCAGCGGCTCACAGAGCTCTCAAGGGTACAAACAGCATACCTGCTCTGGCCTTGGGTCAGAACTGGGTGCTGGAAGCATCCCGAGGACCTGAAGGCCGTCCAGGCCCCAAGGCGGCACCACACCCACTCTCCTGCTACCTGGCAAGTTCAGGCTCAAACAGCCTCATCTTGCCGGCTTCAAGAACCTACTGACTGGCCGGCCTCACGCTCTGTCTTTCCCCACTCAAATTCCTCCCCCACAGGCATCCCAGAATGTTCCTCTCAGTGGATTAATCTCATCACATCTTCCTCATTAAAAGCCTTCCGTGGCTCTCCACTGCTCGGCCTTCGTAAGGCTGCATCCAGATTGAACTTAAATCTTTCCATCCCGGGACCGCCCTGCAGAAGCAAAGTGTCAACAGCTCCCACTCACAGCCTGCACTTTTCCTGCTCCTGGTTCTTTCCTGTCTGAAGCTGACTTTCTTGGTTATCTTTAAATACCACACATTATCATAAAGGCTTAATTTGAATTCCTACTTTCTCCATGAATTCCTTCCTACAACACTTGTGCCGCATCATTGTCTCTTCCGTAGACTCATCGTTATCTTGCACTGCAGCTGTGGAGTTAGGCTTCTGAAGGCGGAAATTTAACTTCAGCTTCGCGGCAGACCCACAGCCTGTCCCCCTGCACTACCCAGTACAGTGCCTTAGACTTCGAGGTCAAAACAGAAAACACCTGTCGTAGCTAAGGGCACCTATGTTGGTCTCTCTAAACACTGACTTATAGTTAAAAAACATACCTTGGATATTTCTTTTATAGAGATGAGATGAAATAATGCAATGATCGTTTATAACAGGGTTCTCTAAAAAGTCTACATCCTTGGGTATTACTTTAAATCTACTTTCATAAATCATAAACACTACTTGCTTTACAAGGCTATTAATAATTTAAGGAACCTATTTTTAAAAAGTCAACTTGGTCAAGGAGAGATTTTTGTTTATTATCCCAAAGTCTAGTTAAATGTTTAATTAAATGTAATAAAAATTTAAAAAATAGTCGTGAAGGCTTATTTAGAAAGAAAATAAAAACCAGTAGACCTGAAAATGGTACAGAGAGGGGTAGATTTATTAATGTAGTGATTAAAAACATTTAAAAAGAGGAGCAAGAAAGCAAAAACTCAGAAAAAAAGTATACTCAAAGCACTTATAAGGAAATGTCACAGGAACTTCAAATACCATTCCCAGACCACATGCTTCTAAAACAACAAGTCTTCACAGTTCCAAACAATCTCAGCCCTTGACATTCAGATAGTCCAGAAGTGCAGATACGCCCTAAATCTCAGCTTAGGAGAAGGATTTCCAAACACTCATTTCATCATGATTTACATTCAGAGGAGGAGTTGCTGCAAAGGAAGAGCAGCCCACGGAAACCTTCTGCATCTTCAGCCGAGGCACAAAGAACAGAAAAAGACAGGAAGACGCTTTCTCTCCATTTCTCCTTTCCCACACCTTTGCTTTACAGTCAGGAAAAACCCTCAACAGAAGTACCCAGATTCCCAGAAGAGGGATCTGGTGAACCAGCAAAATGCAGACAAATCAAGACTGTGGATCCAGGAAAGGACAGTGGTTTCGTGGTCAGTGTTCTGGTCACCCTCCGTGTCAGGAAAACAAGGCGGCACGTCTTCTTATAACGTTCCAGCCAGGGCAGCTCCGGCCGTCCTCCAGGTGCCGCCCTCCAGGTGCCACCCTCCAGCTGACGCTGTGATGGTGCCCTGGACAAGCACAGCCCCTCCAGCGCGTCCTGGACTCACTGTGACAGCGCCGTCCACATGGAACCACTCGACACTGATCCTCCCATCGGAGCCTCAGTCCAGGGGCTACTCCTGCAGCAGGCTTCTTGAGATCAGTATCCGCATCACTTCGTTGCTGCCTGCAAGAGCGAGAGAGGACGGAGGGGCTTAGGAGCTGCCGGGCCTGAGAGTCAGCAAAGCTCTGACTAGGGATGTAAAGGGCAACGTCGCTTTTTTTTTTTTTTGCGGTACACGGGCCTCTCACTGTTGTGGCCTCTCCCGTTGCGGAGCACAGGCTCCGGACGCGCAGGCTCAGCGGCCATGGCTCACGGGCCCAGCCGCTCTGCAGCATGTGGGATCTTACCGGACCGGGGCACGAACCTGTGTCCCGTGCATTGGCAGGTGGATTCTTAACCACTGTGCCACCAGGGAAGTCCCTATTGGCCATTTTTATTTCTTCATTTGTGAATTATCTCAGTACTTTGCTCATTTATCTATTATCCACAATACGACTAGTTATTTTATTACAAAAGTAACTAAAAAGTAATGAAGACATTGTAAAATAGATTAGAACATTTGAATATTTATAGTGTTTTATAACATGCTGTTTAAATAACTCAATCCAATACATTGAGAATATCTTTCTATGTCAACCAGTGTATATCTAAGCCATCATTTTTTTTTTACTTTTTTTTTTTTTTTCGGTTCGCGGGCCTCTCACTTTTGTGGCCTCTCCCGTTGCGGAGCACAGGCTCCGGACGCGCAGGCTCAGCGGCCATGGCTCACCAGCCCAGCCGCTCCGCGGCACGTGGGATCTTCCCGGACTGGGGCACGAACCCACGTCCCCTGCATCGGCAGGTGGACTCTCAACCACTGCGCCACCAGGGAAGCCCGGCAACGTCGCTTTTTATCTTGAAAGATGTCAGGGAGTGAGGAAAAAATTTACCTTTAAAAAAACCTCTATATATGGACATATATACACTACCAAACGTAAAATAGCTAGTGGGAAGCAGCCGCATAGCACAGGGAGATCAGCTCAGTGCTCTGTGACCACCTAGAGGGGTGGGATAGGGAGGGTGGGAGGGAGACACAAGAGGGAGGCGATATGGGGATACATGTATACGTGTAGCTGATTCACTTTGTTATAAAGCAGAAACTAACACACCATTGTAAAGCAATTATACTCCAATAAAGATGTTAAAAAAAAAAAGTAACCTCTCCTGATAGTAAAAGCAAACAAAATAAAACAGCAGAACATCCAATAGTATACGTAGTATAACTCTATTTTAAAAAAATGTATCTATGGGGGCTGAGATGAATTGGGAGATTGGGATTGACATATACACACTATGTATAAAACAGATAACTAATGAGAACCTACTGTGTAGCACAGGGAACTCTACTCATTGCTCTGTGGTGAGCTAAATGGGAAGGAAATCCAAAAAAGAGAGGATGCATGCATACATATAGCTGATTCACTTTACTGTACAGCAGAAACTAACACAACATTGTAAAGCAACTATACTCCAATAAAATTAACTTTAAAAAATGTATCTATACAAGCGCAGAAAAAGGTCCAAAAGAAGATATTTTTGGTCTTAAACATAAAAGGAGCCCAAAGTATTAGTTCTGATGTCAAAACATGAATGATCTTTTTTCTTTTTTAACTTTTCCTATATGTTGTAAGTCTTCAACAATAAATATACCAACATCACTGGTAATCAGAAAACTGAATTTTAAAAAAACAAAAACATTTTCCCTGAAAGAAGGGGGGGTCAGTTGCTTGCTTCGTTTTTCCACTCTTTTTTTATTTTATTTTATTATTTCCACTCTTTTTAATGCAAAAAGAAATATTGACCACCATGAGGAATGACTAATCACACATCTCGAATAAAATCAAAGCTGAAATTTCCTATCTTTCCAATAACAAAGTCTGGGGTGAAACAAGTGACGAAGACCAGTGCGCACATTTTCCTACAAGTGGATGATGGTGTGGCCTGAAATAAGCATATCGGGCTTTTCTCAGTTATTCTAACAGGGTTGAAAGAGTCAGAATGAAGGGAAGTCTCCCGCACTCACCAAGGCTGGAAAGCAACAGCCACGTACGACTGGAGTCACAGAAGGAATGAGGTGACGGGTTTGGCCTGCACACTAGCAAGCCTGCTCATAAACACGCTTTAGGGACAAGGTTTGCAGCAGAAAGCAGATACTAAAGCCTGTGACTTGGACGTGACGCCCCGTGGTGGCTCTCAATGTGGCTCCCAGACAGGCAGGAGCAACCTCCCTGAACCCTCGTTAGAGATGCAGATCCCCAGGCCCACCCAAGACCCATGGAGTCAGAAGCTCTGTGCTCACAAATCCTCCCAGTGGTCCTGACGCTGGTCGGGTCTGAGAAGGATGCTTCAGAAGCCACAGGGAGGCTGGTGCTTCCTTCAGGTTCCTTTACTCAAAGTCACTTCCACAAGCCTTTGCCTCATCCGCTGCCTTTGCTACAGTGTAACCACCTCAGCTGCCTACTGGCTAAACAACAGTCATGTAATTTGAAGATTTCCAAACCAGCGTGGAGTGGAGAAGGCCCTGCAGAGCCCGACGCCAGCAGCTTACCCATCTCCTGCCCGTGGGCCTGTGATCGGCAAGAAGATGCCCGTGTGTGACAATTAATTTACTGAAAGCTCCATTAGCAACAATGATGGTCATGATCAGTGTGTAGAGGCTGGAGATCAAACTAGCTCACATCTACCCTGGAAGTTACTGTGGAGAAGTCCTGGGATCTCTGAGGACCAAGTATTTTACAACAGTGAAGAACAGCCGCTGCTGCAGTTTTCAAAATGCTTTCTCGGATGTTATCTTCGTTTGTGCTGTCTCTATAAATGACAAAGGCAAAGAGCAGGAGGGGGGGTGACTCGGTGACTTCCCGGCCCCCAGGCCAGGTCAGGACGGCACAGCAGGCCCCTCCAGAGGGGGCCAGGAGCAAGGAGGGAGGAGGAAGACAGGAAGCACGGCGACAGACAGCAGGGGTGACGGCTCCGAAAGGGAGAGAACCACCTTGGCCACTTTTACCTTCGAGGATCTGATGGACCCTGGAGTCCCGCATGTACTGCTGGACCGCGCAGTCCTTCAGGTAGCCGTAGCCCCCGTGCATCTGCAGGGCCTGGTTGCAGATCTGCAGGGACACAGGGATTAGATACCTCGGATTCTGAGAAGGCTCCGGAACAGGGGCTCCTCTCTCCGCCCCAGCCCTGATCTGGCTGCCTGCCCTGAGCCAACGTGAGGGAGGTGAAGGTGCCAGCCAGGCCAGAGGGGCTCCGGTTCTGTGTGCACGGGGACAACGAGGGAAGTCTGCCTCCTGAGCGAGCTAGTCCCCACCCACGAGGGACTCAGAGGCCTCTGCCCTTCTCGCCTGCTGTCTGCAGGGAGAGGCTGCCCGCCCCACACCAGCTGGAGTTCTGGCGAGCGGCAGATGCAGCCTCGCTGTGGAAATGGCTCTGTTCCTGACATTTAAACAGTGCTGTGGTCTGACCCTTCTTCCAAAGGCAGCATCTCACCCAGCGCACAGTCAAAGGGCAGAGACAAAACCTGATGTGTGGCGGCGTGGAGCAGGTGAAGTGCCGGCCGAGCGCCCACGTGGGCCTCTCCTGAGTAACTGACGCCTTACGCAGCGTTCCAGGAGCAGCTGGGCGGCCCGCCACAGGCCGGTCACCCAAGAGAGGCAGAAAGCAGCACCACTCACCGCAAAGCATTCGTCTGTAGCGAAGAGCTTGGCCATGGAGCACAGGGCCACCGCATCCTCACGTTCCTCCTGCAGAGCCACGGCTGCGTTGCGGATCATCAGCCGTGAGGCCACCAGCCTGGCCACCATATCTGCCAGTTTGAACTGCAGGTACTGCAGTGAGAGGAGAGAAGAGAACCAGACACACAGACAGGCTCAGAGAGCCACCTCTAACCGGGCCGCTTCTAAGGGGCCCCAGGCTCCACAAAGAATGTGCCTCGTTAAGTTCTAAGTCCACTGCACTCCCTGCACTTCAGCATCTCGCCTCCTTAGGAAGACGCTCCCTCTGTCTGTCCCTTCCACCTACAACCAGTAAAACGCCCACAGCTCTGCCCGGCACGCCCTGGGGCCCCGAGCCCCTGCACACCTCACGGGGTGTGGGCTGGGACCCAGCACGGGCAGGGCCAGGAAGCAGTGGACGTGGTGCCCGAGACCCCTGCCCCGGCAGCAGCAGCACAGGCCATAGCAGCGCCCCGAACCCAACAAGCTAGACACAGCAGGGTGCCTGCGACCCCAGCTCCGGCCCCGCCCCCCCGCCTGCTGTGGTGGCAGTGCTCGTGACCCAGGCAACCCCGAATGTGGCAGAGGTGCCCGCCGTCCGGTGCCCCTTGAGGCGACATCAGCCACAGGCACAGCCCCGGGCACAGCAAGCACCAGCACGCCCAGCGCAGCACCTCTGGCAGCAGCGGCAGAGAAAAGAGAAACCAAAGCCCACACTACAGCGCCACCTGCTGAAAACCAAAGGAAAGTTAGAACCAAGTAAAAAAGCTCTACCCAAGAAGGTACTGGCTACTTCAAATGGGCCAGCAGAGGAACAACTCACCAAGCACCATGCAGAAGCACGGCAACACGCGGGACCACAGAAAGACGACAATTCTCCAGAAACCAGACTTGAAGTCATGGAATACTGGGACCTAACTGATGGAGAATTCAAAATAGCTGCGTCAGGAAACTCGACGAGTTACGAGAAAAGTCAGATGGGCAGTTCAGTGAGCTCAGGAATAAAACTAATGAACAGAAGGACTACTCTACCAAGAGACTGAAACTCTAAGAAAGAATCAAACCAAAATTTTGGAGCTGAAGAACTCAATAAATGAGATGGAAAATGCATTAGAGGGCTATGGGGATCGAGCCGACCACAAGGAAGAGGGAATTAGTGAGCTCCAAGACGGAAATCTAGAAATGATTCAGGTAGGAGGGGAGAGAGAGCTAAGATTAAAAACACGGAATCCTACGAGAGCTATCCCACTCCATCAGGAAGAGCAACAGAAGGACAGTGGGCATCCCAGAAGGAAAAGACAGGGGAAAGGAGCACAGAGCTTGTTTACAGAAGTTAAGAGCTGAGGGCTTCCCTGGTGGTATAGCGGTTAAGAATCCGCTTGCGAATGCAGGGGACACGGGTTCGAGCCCTGGTCTGGGAAGATCCCACATGCTGCAGAGCAACTAAGCCCATGCACCACAACTACTGAGCCTGCGCTCTAGAGCCTGTGAGCCACAAGTACTGAAGCCTGCGCACCTAGAGCCCGTGCTCCGCAACAAGAGAAGCCACCGCAATGAGAAGCCCGCACACCACAAGGAAGAGTAGCCCCCACTCACTGCAACTAGAGAAAAGCCCGTGGGCAGCAACAAAGACCCAACGCGGCCAAAAATAAAATAAAAAAAAAGAAGTAAAAGCTGAGAGTGTCCCAAACCTGGGGAAGGAACTGGATACACAAGTCCATGAAACTAAGAGAACACCTAATTATCTCAACGCAAAAAGATCTTCTCCAAGACACATAATATTAAAACTGTCCACAGTCAATGACAAAGAAAGAATTTTAAAGGCAGTCAGAAAAAAAGGGCAATAACCTACAAAGGAACCCCATTAGGTTAAGGGTGGAACAGAACTATCTTACAATCCAGCCGTTCCACTTACGGTTTTTTTCCAAAGAATATGAAAACACTAATTCAAAAACATACATGCACCTCTATGTTCACTGCAGCACTATTTACAACAGCCAAGATATGGAAGCAACCTAAGTGCCTATCAATAGATAAAGAAGACGGGGTGTACGTATACAATGGAATATTACTCAGCCATAAAAAAGAATGGAATCTTGCCTTTTGTGACAACATGGATGGACCTAGAGGATATTATGTTAAGTGAAATAAGTCAGACAGAGAAAGACAAATACCATATGATTTCACTCATACGAAGAGTCTAAAACACACACAATAAATGAATGCACAAAACAAAACACCACCACATAGATACAGAGAACAGACTGGTGGTTACCAGAGAAGGGGGTGGGGGGAGGGTGAAATGGGTAAAGGAGATCAACTGTTATGCTGATTGATGGAAATCAGACTTTCAGTGGTGAGCTCACTGTAGTGTATACAGAAATCCAATTATAATGTATACATGAGGGACTTCCCTGGTGGTCCAGCGGATAAGACTCCACGCTCCCAATGCAGGGGACACGGGTTTGATTCCTGGTCAGGGAACTAAGACCCCACATGCCGCATGCCACACGGTGCAGGCAAAAAAAAAAAAAAAAAAAAGTATACATGAAACATATAATGTTATAAACCAGCATTACCTCAATAAAGAAAAAAGAAAGAAAAACTGGAACACAAGCAAAAGAAAAAAGAGATAAATCATCTAATCCCATCCCCCTGAAATAATTACTTCTTGCATTTTTCAGATGTATCCCTGAAAATGTTTCATTAATATTTATACAGGGACTTCCCTGGTGGTCCAGTGGTTAAGACTTCACCTTTCAATTCACGGGGTGTGGGTTCAATCCCCAGTCAGGGAGCTAACATCCCACCTGCCTCGCTGCCAAAAAATCAAAACATAAAACAGAGCAATATTGTAACAATTCAATAAAGACTTAAGAAAAAAAATGGTCCACATAAAAAAAAAAAATCTTTTAAAAGAAATTTAGGGCTTCCCTGGTGGCGCAGTGGTTAAGAATCCGCCTACCAACGCAGGGGACACGGGTTCGAGCCCTGGTCTGGGAAGATCCCGCATGCTGCGGAGCAACTAACCCCATGCACCACAACTACTGAGCCTGTGCTCTAGAGCCTTCGAGCCACAACTACCGAAGCCTGCTCACCTAGAGCCCGTGCTCCACAACAAGAGAAGCGCCCGCGATGAGAAGCCCCCGCTCGCCGCAACTAGAGAAAGCTGTGCACAGCAGTGAAGAACAAAAGCAGCCAAAGACAGACAAGTAAATTAATTAAAAAAATTTATACATATTCATGTATTCTGTAAACAAAGCAGAAGCATACTCCTCTAAAATGTCGTGCTTTTTCTTGCCAGTCAATGTATCACGAATCTTTTCACGACTATAAGCAAAAATTATTAAACAATTATTGACAGAAATAGAGCACAAGTTCTGGCTGAAATGGGGGCAGAACCCACAAGAGACATCAGGGCCCCACAGTTGTAGAGAATGTTCTAGAGACAAGAGCAAAAGCTAGGACACCGGGGAAGTTACCTGGTTACTGGCCAGGGGCTCTCCAAACTGCTTCCGGACCTTGAGGTGGTCTCGGGTGAGGATGACCGAAGCATAAGCAGCGCCCAGAGAGCAGGACGCTAGGAAGGACGGTACCAACACGTCAAGTGAGCCAGGGGACCGTGCTGCCCGCCCGCCGCTCCTGCCCCCTGGGGTCCTCACCGACATTGATCCTCCCCCCGTTCAGTCCTCTCATGGCAATGAGGAAGCCCTGGCCCTCGTCCCCGATCCTGTTGGCCACAGGGACAGCACAGTCTTCAAAGATCACCGCTCGGGTCGGCTGTGAGTTCCACCCCACCTGGCAAAAATCAGGGGCTGTGTGGCTGCCCAGAAGTTGACCGCTCAGGGCAGCATCCTGTCCACCAGGCTCTCCTATCCCTGGACTTAGTCCCTCGGGAACTTCAATGAGGAAAAATAGAAAGGTCACACAAATATCTGTCGACTCAGGTTTTTCTCTTTCAGCTCAACATTTTCAACACATTAAGAGCATCTACTTCCTAGTGCCCACTCCACCAGACCAACCTGTCCCCAAACATTTCCCACCGCTTCCTTCAGGATCGGGCAGAACCCTCCTCCTTTGTGGCACCTCCATGAGTATATTCTTCTATAAAAAACGTTGACGGTATAAGGATTACTCGGAGTATGTGTCCTCTTATAAGGACAGCGCAAGGATCATAATGACCAAGAGCCACCCTCGTCCTTTGAAGAGCTCAGCGTTTTTGCACGTGGTGCCGTAACGTCTACCACGCTGGCCATCGGCTGCACAGACCTGGCGAGATGCAGGCACTGGCGCGTGGGAGCCAATCACACACACCTTCTCTCAGCTTGGCTGCCGGTGACGTCACCCTGGTGACATCATCCCGGTGACATCACCCCGGAAGCCAGAAATCGGTCCGGGGAGAGTATTTCCACCACAGAAACTGGCAAACACTGCACATGAGGGGCTTCTTGGTGTCTGCTTTTCCCAGGGAGCTGAGGCTCAGTGAGGCAGATCCTGAAGAGCACAAGACCAGACAAAGCCCCCGGCTCCCCGACAGCTGAGAGCCCCACTGCCCTCGTTCAGGGCTCCCTGCCGTGGGAAGAGGCGCTCCACCCACAGCCTTTTATTTAAGGTTTTTCTTCCAAGAGAACGGCTCAGTCCTTCTCTTCTGTCCGTCACCCTGTACCCTCGATTCCACTCAAACTGTTCTGCGACCTGTGCGGCTGGCCTGTTGACCATACTTCTGCTTCTCCTCTCCCTCCCCGGAAGCACTCCCATCTCCAACCTCCGTCAAAGTCGAGCTTCGCTGGAACCTCCTGAGGCCCTTCCGGTCGCCTGAGCCAGCACTGACCTCGCTGTCTTTCAGGCCCCCAAGTCTGAAACCTTCCCACACTGGCCTGTGTGGTCTCCCTGGAACTTACCTCCCATCCAGAACATACACATCTGGAACGGCAGATCTTAACGACAGCCAATCATAAGAGAACCACATACAAACAGCTGCTACCTCCTAGCCCCTTCCTGTGAAAGCAGCTCCCTTCTCCCCTGGGCAGAGAACGCCGCTCCTCAACCCCCAGAGCCCCTGGGAAGCTGCAGCCAGAAAGAAGACCCTCCTCCCCGGCCCTCCGGCAGCCCCGGCCGCCCAGGACCAGGGGAGCCCTGTCCCGTCCATCTGTCTTTCCTTCCACAGACTGCCTTCCCACCGCCACCCCTCCTACGGGAAAACGCATTCTTCTGTACGAAACCTTTTAACAATTAAATCCAAGATAAAACAGTTCCTCACACCACTTTCCCATAAAGCCAATGCAGAACTGGTTGTTTAAAGCTCTCAGCTACAAAATGTGCTCAGTACGCCAAGTCAAAGCATGTGCCTGCAGGAAAGACGGCCATGCGGCTGGAGAGAAAGACCCGCTGCTCAGGCCATCACGGCAGCCAAATCAGCCATGGCGATCAGTGGGTGACCCTGCACCCGGCCTGCGCAGCCCTGCCTGCCTCTCCAACTTCATCCCACACCGTTCCCTTTGCTCACGACCCCCCGGCCACACGGAGAGGCTCTGGCTTCTTCAAACAGGCTCATCCTGCCCCCACCTCGGGCCCTCTGTCCCACTGCCGTCTCTGCCCAGAAGCCTCCTCACGGCCGGCTCCCGTGACGCTGCAGACCTCATCTCAAAGGACACCTCATCTTCAGAGAGTCGTCTGTCCCCACCCTGAGAAGCTCTCCTCCGTCCACGTCGCAGCCTCCAGCCTGCCTTCCTCCCTTGCCCTGAGCGCTGATGGAAGGCACCGTGTTGGTTCCTGCGACCGCCCTCCACCCTGCTGCTAACAGGCCAATTCTACAGGGCGGGGCGCGTCTGTGCAGCCCCTGCTCTGTCCCACCACTCGGTACAGTGGACCCCTGCTAGCTGCTCAATGAATGAGACGCCCTTCCAAATTCCCCACACATTATAGGACACGTAAAGCAAGACGAATAATTAAGAAGAAAACAAGCAAAAAGAGATACGATATATATGCTTAAAAGCGAGAGGAGACAGAAAGGAAAGGTAAAGAGACGCTTTTTGTTTATGGAATTTACTTACAGTTTTTCTCCAGGCCCTAACCTTGTCAGCTTTGGTATGCTATCAACCGATACCAGAAACACCGATGTGCTGAAATAATCATCGCTATCTCTATAGGCACAAACACCAGAATCAGTATAACTTGGTCCTGTAAAATTATGTCAGGCTCCGTGTCAGTCTGTCTTATAATCCCAAACAGACATCCCTAGGATTAAGAAGTCTTAGAGCTACCTATCTCATATACCACGTGTACACAGCTTACATAGCTTATAAAGGTAAGACGATGTCTTATAATCCCAGACAAGCTGTGGTGATTCTTGTACCCCCAGGAGCGAGTGTAAGCCTTTGCAGAGTCTGTGTCTAGCAGGTCCTGCTTTCCTGTACAAGAGAAGGGCACTGAACCTCTGAACTCCTAGCAGCTACAAAGGATCAGGAAGGTCATGAAGGGACGAATGGGGAACCGGGGAGCCAGGAGAGGAGAGGTAGATTAGGGGCCATTTCATTACTGACTTCTCTCCAAAAGCTCCAACTCTAACAGTACCTGCTGGAGGTGGAGGCCAGTCACCTGGCCTGGCCCACCTGACTAGATCCCACCCTCATCACCAGTGACAGTTACATAACCACAGGTCTACTGTTCATGGCCTGGCTACTTCTTAATCCTAAAAACGTCTTCTCGAAGCCTATGGAAACACTCTTCCTCTTACATTACTGAAAGACTCACAATCACTTCCAGTGAGTTTTACTGTATTTTTATTTGAAGAAGAAAAGTGGCCCATATGCTTTTCATTCCTGAGACCTCTAGTCTTCTGTAAGCATTTCCTCCTGGGGGAACAAGAGGGCATCAAGATAAGAAGGTAGATAAGAGATACAGGCCAACAGTGGCTGCAGGAGAGATGACAGAGAAATCCCTCCCATTGATGAACTTCCTGGCAAATGTTGCCACTTCACCAGCGGTCCAGCGCACTCTGACAATGCCCTATCCCACCTGATACACTGTCGAAACCCTGATTGAAGCAACAGCCTCCAAGGCCAGTGAGCCAGTGTGGAACCCATTTCCCGAAACAGAGCAGAGGCTGGTCTGGCAGAAGCAAGAGGCTCACAACCTGACTCTCCCCGTCCAACCGCACTCACCTTTCTCTCCTTCTTGCCGAAGCTGAGGCCAGGGGTCCCCTTCTCAACAACTATGCATGAGATGCCTTTGGGGCCTGGTCCTCCTGTTCGGCACATGACCACATAGATGTCTGCTTCGCCTCCACCACTGATGAAGGCCTGCGGGTTTGGAGAGGGGAAAACACTGCGGTCCCCCGACGATGGGACAGTGAGAGATATGGTGGCACAGAGAAACTAAGGAGGGTTACAAAGAGCCGGCACTGAGGCTGTAAAAAGGACAGACACTAGTGAACGGAACTAAGTGGACTGAAACCAGAAGAGAAACAGTGACAGTGAACACGGGAAGTCGGCCTGAGGTTCCCTCCCACACGTACCACCCCCGGGAACGTTCCCTCGCGGACCTGGGGTCCAGGCTGTGGAGGCAGGAGGGGGACAGCCTCCGATCTGCCCGGGGAGGACCGAGGACGGCATGCTTGTACCTTGGAGCCACTGAGCACGTAATGATCTCCTCGTCGCTTGGCGGAGGTCAAGAGGGAGGCGGCATCACTCCCACTGCCTACGGCAGGGACAGGAGGGAAGCGTAGAGGTGGGAGAGAGCCTGGGAAGGTAAGGAAGCCCCGGCAAGGCTCTACCTGAGAAATCTTCCCTTACAAAAAACACCTCAGAGTTTGATACTTTAAAATCCATATGGCTGAGAAGCTCTCTATACTTGTGAAAACTGCATACGGCAATCAGACCCTTTTCCATCTCCCATCACGCTAGCTTGCAAGGAGCCTCCTACAAGGAGGTTCTGGTCTGCAGCCTGGAAAGACTCTGCCCTAGAGAGCTCTTAGCCTGTGACATCAGGTCACGGCCATCAGGCACTCCTGGTCAACAACGGCTACACGTGCGGGGCTGAGAAGGCACGCCCCGTGATTTCCCATGAGCCACACCTCCTGCTGCACGGCAAACCCACCTGGTTCAGTGAGGCAGTAGGAAGCAAACTTCTCCATGGTACAGAGTGGAGGGCAAAACCTGTGCCTCTGTTCCTCACTTCCAAAGGTATCAATCATCCAGGCACACATGCTGACAGGTACACCAAGAAGAGACATTGACAGAGATAGAGACGGAAAAGAAAAGGAAATTTGAGGGGGGAGGGGAACGGGGCAGGAGAACAAAGGCAGCAAAGTAGAGTGAAGCAGAACAGAGCGGGAAGGGAAAAGTCACAATTGAGAAGATTCATCTTTAAAGCAAAGGCCTGCATTAACATATTCCTGGGACACATACTACCCAGACGTACCCAGGGCCAAGGTATTTCCCACCTGGATGCTGTTCCTGCTATTTCTAGTTAGGTTAACTGAGCTCCCTAAAAATCAAGGAGTCACATGTCCTTTCCCAAATTAGTGGAGGCTTCATCTTTGGGCTGAGGAAAAGGGAACAGGCCCCAACCACTCTACTGGAGAAGTCTGTTTGGTACCAGGTCAATCTGGAATTTGGGAGAAGGCCAGCATTCTCTAAGCAACATACAAGATGACAGATTCAAGTCCAACAGGGAGCAGCAGACCTAAGTGCGAACTTTTAACTGTCTAGTCCTTCAAGGACAGCCAACCTGAAAAGAGCAACCTTTTCCCTGTTTATATAAACTTTCCCAGCCAGCCCGCACGAGCACGTCACTGTGCTTCCTGATCTTGGCCACTCACTTGTGGATGCTTATGTAGGCTGTGGTGCTGGTGCAGCCTGTGGCCAAGGCTTCAAAGATGACAGAGGTGTCGAGCCGTGACAGTCCAGACCCTCCTACATCTGTTCGTACGTAAATCCCCCCAAAGCCCAGCTGGGCTGCCTTCCGCATCACATCCACTGGGAACAGCTCCTGCGTACAAAGAGAGCAGGGTCATCAGTAAGTTATTCACAGATGGCCTTTTCTTTAGAGGGCACAAGGAAGGATCAAGACGTTTGCCCTCGGGAGAGAGCAGGGAGTCTCTTAACATGCCTTTTGTCATCTATATAGTGAAACCAGTTAAAATGCATTCTATAAGGACTGGTTTCTGGCATCAAAGTTTCTTTTTATCATCAATAGAATTGCCTTGGTTTAAGAGTGCCCAAATCTCTGTGCAATTAAAAAAAATGATATCTACAGGATGCGGAAGATGCTTTCCAGGAAAGGAATCACACCACTCCTGGAACTTGCATTCCATTCGCTGTGAGAGTTTTAAGTGGAGAATAAATACCAAACAATCTGGATCATAAGGAGGAGATAAGGGTCACTGCACGAGGCGTCTGTGGGGACATCCAGCACAGGAAAACCCGCACCTTCTGGTCCCACTCTGCCATGTTTGGCGCCATCTCCCGGGCAGCAAAGTTGAACGCCACTTTCTGGAACTCTTTCTGCTCTTCGTTTAGTCCCGTAGAAGCTGTGGGCAAGGCGGCATTTACTCAGAACCAGGACAGGGGTCAGGGAAGTGTACTGCAAGCAAGAAGCACCACGAAGCCCGGGCCGGCGGTGGACCTATGAGAGCATTCCCACACGGCACACCACCTCCAGCACCCACCGCTAATCAGCGTCTTGAGGTAGCATCACCTGCCTCCTTCCTTCTTTACTCCCAAACAGACTGGCTGACTTCATTTACCTTGTTACTTATTCTTTCAATACTCATCTTCATCTCTTCCTCCTCACGAATCCACATTAAAGGAACAATAAACACACTGACCCTCAAATTATGATGAACGTATTTTTCCTTCAGGATGTCCTGCATTTTCTGTATTGGAATTGGTGCGTATTTGTCTACCAGCTACAACAGTTTCATTTTAAAACATCAGTCAGGAAAGGAAGATACGTGTACTTGGGCTTTTGGCTTACCTTCCAAATTAAGGAAAAGATCCTGTAACAAAGCTGTGCATTTGACAGTCACTGATAACAATGATAACGAGTCTTCCAGTGTTGAAAACATGGCTAAGGCCTTCCTAAATCCGTCTTCACCTAATGGATTCACAATTTTTAGAATATTTTCTTTCCTAACTGTTAATGCTGTGACTTTGGGTAACTCCTTCACTTCCAGGTCAAAGCTACTTAAAAGCTAAGGAAATGAACTGACTGAGCAATATCAAGAGACAGGTAGTGGAGCTTCATGAGGACAAGTTTCTCTAGAACCTTACACATTTTGTAAAAGACTATACTATTCCAGTATTTCATCAAGGGTGATACTCTTTAGGAGAAAGATATCTGCATGAGCCTACGTGAAATAGTGGCCACTCAATTCACAGTGTCGTTACTTTACAACTTTTCTTTAAAGAGCCAGTTCCCCGAATGACACGAACACTATTTATTTTCTATGTTTTTTTCAAACACTGTGCAGAATGAGGTAGGACTCAATTGGAAAGCAGAGCGACAGGCCATATAGCTGGTCATGTGGGCCTGAAATATCTTTCCTGTTTTGCAAGGTGATAAGACTTTCAGCTAGAGACAGGCCAGAAGCTAAAAGGGAAGAACCTAAGCAAAGCTCCTGTGAAAAACCACAACCTTTTGGGAACCGTGCAGAGAATCTAGAAATGAAAGGACCATGAATCCTGGGAGCCACCATGCAGAAGGGTCAGCAACCTGCACAGGGGGACAGACTTACGCTGCTCACGTTATCTTTCTTTTGTTTTCTTAGGACTGCCGTTTTGAAAGGACTGCCTGCCTCACATGTGCCAGGAAGAGATAACGGAGTGTCTGCTGCAGCTGGAGGCACAGTGGTGGCTGAGAAAACATCAGGGGAAGAGGAAGTGCTGGGCTCTGCACTGCTTTCTAAGGTTTCAGCCTTTTGGTCCTGGGGTGATGCTAAAGAGCACACCCGACCACGACTTCCTTCAGTGCCCGGCTGTCCTGCGCGGCCCTTCCCACTGAGAACAAGGGCAGGTGGCAGCATGTGTCTCTGGGTAGACCTGGGCCTCAGGAGTGGATGCTGTGTGAAGCAGGACAAAGCTGTCTGTCTGTAGCAGGACCCTCACCAAAATGGGAAACTCAGAAGTGAAGAGTTGTGAGGATTAAAGATGACGCTACCTTGAGAAGTCCAAAGCAGAAAACTACGTTGGGTGTTGCTCTCGGAAATGTGGTTAGGGATAAACAATTCATGGTTCCTTGCCTGGGAGTCGGGTCATTTTCCATTCACAAAAGAATACTGACTGAGTGTCTACCATGGAGCAGTGCTGAGGTGTCAAAGATGAAAATGGTCCATTCACCCAAAGGATGACATAAGTGGTGAGAAAGCAAACATCTGACTGTACATGGGCTACAAAACTTCCGTCCCAGCAAGAGCTCAATACGTGTCTACAGGTATTATTATTAGCATTTGACAGAGTAAAACAAGTAGTTCAGGGTATAAAAGGTCTAAGAAGTAGATCTGAATTGCACACAAAGTGAATAAGAGGGAATGCGTGTACACAAATCAGATGTACAGGCACACCTTGTTTCATTGCCCTTCATTTCTCTCTGCAGAATCTGTGTTTTTTACTAACTGAAGGTCTGTAGCAACCCTGTGTTGTCAAATGATGGTTAGGATTTTTTAGCAATGAAGTATTTTTAAATTAAGGTATGGACATTGTTTTCTTAGACACAATGCTACTGCACACCTAATAGACTACAGTGCAGTGTAAACATAACTTTTACAAGTACCCGGAAAACAACAAAGTCGTTATTGCAGTATCTGCTTCATTACAGTGGTATGGAACCAAACCTGCAGTATCTCTGAGGTGCACCTGTATAAATACAACATAATTACATATTTATTTAAGATAGATAATAATCAATTCTAGATAATGGAATGCTAAGAAAAGGAGAACACTGCTTGGAGAAAAAAAGTGGAAAAGGCAAGCTAAAAAGTAAATTATACACAACAAAGCATAGTTACTGAGTAAAAATACCTAAGTTCTCAGAAAACATGCACTGGAAAACAAAACAAGACGAAAACCAGGAACTTCCCTGGTGCAGTGGTTAAGAACCCACCTGCCAATGCAGGGGACACGGGTTCAAGCCTTGGTCCAGGAAGATCCCACATGCCACGGAGCAACTAAGCCTGTGCGCTACAACTACTGAGCCTGGGCTCTAGAGCCCGTGAGCCACAACTACTGAGCCCATGAGCCACAACTACTGAGACCGCTGTGCCACAACTACTGAAGCCCGCGTGCCTAGAGCCCCGTGCTCCACAATGGGAAGCCACCGCAATGAGAACCCTGCGCACCACAACGAAGAGTAGCCCTGCTCGCTGCAACTAAAGAAAGCCCGCGTGCAACAACGAAGACCCAATGCAGCCAAAAATAAATAAATAAATAAATTTATTAAAAAAAGAATCTTTGAATGCATCCAAAGGCCAAACCTAGCCAGAGACTCAACAGTTCTGAGAATCCTGGTGCTCAAGGAACGCTTGGGAAGCTGCAGCAAATCACAATGAGGGAGCACTGGACAAGGAACCAGGCGTTCAAGATCTGGGTCTGCAACTATTAATTATACAATTTTCAGGAAGTCAGGCCTCCAGACTCCTCCCTCAGCCTCAGGTGCCCTGCTGTAAAACCAGGGGGCTGCACTAGACACTGAGCAAGTTTCCTCATCTGTAAAATGATATATCAGATATAATGAAAATCATAACGCTCTTAAAAATTACTTTTCACATTAAAATATGCCATGAATCAATGAGAAACCTTTGTTGATCGCTTCCATTAATTTGATATTCTAATATGTAGAATGATACACCTAAAGGACAGTTTTCTTTCATTTTACTAATTAAAAGAGCATCAAAAAGCACCTTCCACTGGTTGAAGTTACACCACTAGCCACCGGATATACTTATATTTAACCAATTTGTTGCCAATCAACAAAGGTGACCTTGCTTACCGAATTCTGAGGGCTAGGATAGGGTGGCACCCTGTGAAGGTGTTTTAGAACATTGAGAAGAAAACTGTCCTATACCTTGGCGTCCTTTACAGCTCTGGATGTCAAGCTAAGGCCCTCAGAAGCTACTCTGCTGTTTTCAAAACTGTCATTTATTAAAAATTTTAAAAAAGAAAGACTTCAAAAGAAAAAAGTGGTTAGGCGCCCGACAACGTCACAAAGTGTCTGGTTACCCCCTAGGCGGCCTAGGTCCCCCCCCCCACTCCGTTACTGGCATCGAAATTATTTGCCTGGTGCCAGGAGACATTCAGATCTGTAAGCTCTGGTAGTTTCCCATTTGCAACAGGTTATTTTTCTGCATAAATTTCAACAGTTGAAGTGTTTTGTAGTTACAGGTGTTGTTCTATAATTTATATATGGGAGCAAACCTTGTATCACCGGAGATTTTGTTCACCAATCACAACCAGCCCCGGGCTTTTCACATCCTTACTGCCTTTAGAACCGATGGTTGTGATTTAAAAAAACAAAGTCACGAGCTTCCGCGGCGGAGCCCGTCGTTATCCGAAAGCAGATGGGTAACGACGTAGCTCCGAATTGTGAGAGGAAAGGTCGCAGGGGCTGTCTCGCGAAACGTACCGCCAGGTTCATAACGCAAAGCACGGTAAGGGCGGTCTGTACAAGGACGGACCAGCATCGGCCACTGGGCTGAGCCGCCGAGGGTCGCCCGCCCCCGGGGCCGCGCCACGTCTAAGCCGGGGAAATCACTAGGCCCGGGGCGCCCGGACAGGCCGACGCGGTGAATGAGGGCGGCCAGGCCGGCCAGGAGGGCGGCCGGGCCGGCCAGGTGGACGGACCCCTATCCCCGGGCGAGCCTTACGATCGATGCAGGAGACCACGCCCCGCCGACCGCTTTCGGCGGGGGCCTGGAGCCCGCCGCGCAAGCCGCGCAGCCGCGCCCCGACACGCCACCACGGGACCCACAACATAGCCGCCGCCTGCTCCACTCCTTTCTGCTCGGGCCAAGGTCTGAGCGCCGGTGACCCCGACCGGCCGGCCACAAGGGCCGCGCCGCACGCACGCTGGGAGCTGTAGTGCGCGCCCTGGCCCCGCGTGCAGACTCGGGGCGCCTGCGCGAGGAGCCGGGACTACAACTCCCAGGGGCTCCCCGGGGCGCGCGCCAAGACTAGAAAGCGCCGCGGGGACGCTGTGCAGCGCCCTGCGGCGCGCGGGGAGGTGGGTTGGGGTAGCGCTTCGAAGGCCTGCGGACTCGCGGGGGTAGCTGTGATTGAGAGAGAAGACCACCGGGGGCGCTCAGCGGCGGTCTGTGCTAGGCGGACATCCCGGGTGTGGGTAACGCGGAAGGATTCCGCGGGCCCCTGGGCGACGGCGGGACCTTCTATCCTCGGCGCGCGGGGACGCCATGCCGCGAGCCCGGAAGAGGCCGGCGGGGGCCGCGAGGCCAGGTGAGCCGCGCCCGGCTGCTCAGTGCCGCTCACCTTCCGCCCTTGCGCGTGGGGAAAGGCCCGAGTGGGTCGTTTTGAGGTCCGATGTCCCGAGCCGCCCACCAGGCTTATGCTCAGGGCCCCTCTGCTGCTTGCTCGTCCGAGCGGTAGCTGTTTGGAAAGCACGAAAAGTAGCTGGGATACGGGCTGGCAGGCGCTGAGGCCGGTCGTTTACAGTTTCCGCTCCCCGGGGAGCCAGACGAGGAAAGGAAAGGGTCACTGGAGCTGTGAGAGCAGGGAGGGGTTGGGGGGACGCCTTGAGAGGGAGGGGATTTGAGTCTAGCCGTAAAGAATGGGTAGGAACCCGTTGTGTTCACAAGGATGAGTGGCATTCTAGGAGCAGCAGCAAAGCAATGAACGACAGAGAAAGTGCTTTTTCGAGACTGGGGAGGGTTCTGAGTTGCCCACAACACATTGTTAACAGCACACACGGTGTTTACAGTGTGCCGATCAAGTCCAGGGGGACCACCAGGACCCTAGGAAGGTTCCACGTGTTAGACGTCCATCATGATGGCACACGTAGGAGCTTGGACTTGGTTCAGAGGCTGCGTAGGATGGTCGTTTAGTGGATTCAGATAGACCAGCGTGGCAGGCCCTGATGTGTGATCTGGGACACATCTTACAGATGGACAGAACACCTCATAGATTGTGTAGACTGAGTTACAGTGAGGGTGATAACACATAGGACGTAGGGTAAGAATTTTAACAGCTATTAGTTACAAGACACCCACTCTGCTCCAGGCACATTTCCCTCACTCTGTAGGATAAAGTCCAGTCTTGACCATGTCTGCAGAGTCCAAAGTGGCTTTTTTATCCAGCTTTTCTTGGCACCTTCAAGGAGTAGAAAGGAGGCAGGCCACAGAGCATACTGAGCAAGAAGGAAGAAGTCGAGGTGACCTAATAGCTAATATTATTGAGCATTTATGGTAACGCCAGACACTGCTTCAGCCCATTGTTTGTATTATCTTATTTAATCATCAAAGCAAGTCCGTGGAGTAGGTGCCTCGTTGGAGAGAACAGCTCCAGCAAAGGCAGAGGAGAGGGTGAGGAAAAGAAAACATTCACTGACTGCTTAATAGACGCCACGGGAGTTATCCTTATCCCACTGAATGGGTAACCCAGAAGATGTCCTGTAAGGTAGGCGTTCTGGTCCCATTTTTATAGATGAGGAACGAGTTCAGCAATGAAGCTGCCACTGTTAGTAACTGACAGCTCCAGAATTTGAGTCCAGCCCTGACTCCAAAGCATGTGCTTTTCCTGCAACAGAACTTTCTCTCTCAACAAGCAAGAAAGTTCTCTTCTTTTTTCTTCTCCTATTGCAGACAAGAAGGGGCCAGGAGGAAAACGTACCAAAACTGAGGACCCAGGGGAGGCATCAGCTAAGGTGGAGAACTCCAGCCTCCAGGAGACTTCAGCCTCTAGAGACTGTGGGAAGAACCTAAGCAGCTACTGGCTGATGAAGTCAGAGCCAGAAAGCCGACTGGAGAGAGGGGTAGATGTGAAGGTGAGGTCCCACACCTGTCTCCAGAGTGCACAGGGGACACCACAGGGTCCCATCACCCACTTCTTACCTTCGAAGGGTAGGAAAAGGTGATAAAGGATATAATCAGTAGGATTTATTGCCATGCACTATCTGTTTTGTGAATCTTCTACTTAGGGCAGGGGTTGGCAAACATTTTCTCTAAAGGGCCAGGTGGTGCTGTTGCAACTCTGCTGGCTGCCATAGACAGACAGTGTGGCTGAGTTCCGATAAAACTGTCAGCAAAATCAGGCATGGGCTAGATTTGTCCTGAAGGCTATAGTTTTCCAACCCCTGATCTAGGCAACATTCAGTCTTAGGTTGCCTTTCTCTTGCCACCTGCCACGCTCCTAGGTATCTCCCTGCCAACAGCTGGTACACAGGAGGCGAATGTAAATCAAATTTCATAGTAGCCTGGAGAAAATAAAATTAGAGATACTATAGAAGGCATATATAGTATTTTACTAAATGAAATACAGATAGTCAGCAATTACCAGATTATCCACTCATCTAATCCTCTCGATGAGCAAGGCTAACAAGGTAACACAAAGCTAACTTCTACTTGCGCAGTATGAGTGGCTCTGTGAAGAGCTTCCCAGTAAGCTCACATGCCATTCCAGCTGGCAACACCCTATAGGGGAAGGAACTTGTCTGCTTCCATATATTCTTACCGATTGGCCCAGGATTGTTTACTGAATGACCTTATTTCTTGCCCAGTTCAGCATTGAGGATCTCAGAGCACAGCCCAAGCAGACAGCATGCTGGGATGGTGTTCGCAACTACCAGGTAAGCGGGTTAGACAGGACCTCGAGACCCGGGGGGGGGGGGGGGAAATAAAAGCCTGCTTCCTTCTGACTTATTCAGTAGCAAAATCTCTTGGCCAAGGTTGTTTTTTCCCAGAACCCAAACCTGAAAATATATTAACAAATGCCTTGATTTCTTTGACTGCACGCAGTTTTCAAATGGCCTGTGTTCCAGCCAGTGTCCTGATACAGCTCTGGGTAAAAGGCAAGAATTGAACTGCGGGGTGTGGGGGGAAGCTGCGAAAACCAAAATCTCATCTAATAAAAGCAGACTTGATTTCCAGGGCTAGTGTCTTCTAGCTGGTGGGAGGATAGTTCTTGTTTCTTCTCTGCTGGAACAGGCCCGGAACTTCCTGAGAGCCATGAAGCTGGAGGAAGAAGCCTTCTTCTACCACAGCAACTGCAGAGAGCCAGGCATTGCGGGGCTTATGAAGGTCGGTTGTATAGGCTTAGGTCTGAGTCCATCTCCCTTCATGCAGGTTAGGGAGACAGCGTAGGCAGGTAACCCTCCTCCCCATCCCTGCTGTCTCAGGGACATGTGACAGGACTGCAGCAAGGCAGGCCTTCATTTCAGGCCCCACTGGCACAGACCTCTCCATTTCTGCACCTTGGTCTTTCACTCAAAAACAGGCCTGATGGTAGCTCTTCCAGGCCAGGAGTTACCAGGATAGAATTAACTGTAGGTGGAGAAACAGTGGCACCAATAATAACCTTTAATGTTTGGTTTTAGAACATACTTTTAAGATTTTTGTCAAAATAGGGTTGATTTCCTCTGCTTACCTTAGACTGTGTATTACTTCCAGATATTTGAGCCCTCAGTGGCTCCACAGCGAGACAGATGGGGTAAGAATACGTAGGGTAGGAAATGACAGTTGGACTTGGACTAAAGCCTGGCCATGGAGCCGACTGGACAAATGACTGGAGACTCGGCTTTAATTTCAGATTGTGAAGGAGGCATACCCAGACCACACACAGTTTGAGAAAAACAATCCCCATTATGATCCATCCAGCAAAGAAGACAACCCCAAATGGTCCATGGTAAAGATACTACTATTCTTCCTATTTCACAAAAGAGAAAGGATGGACAGAGAGGGAGGAAGAAGGTCTGGGGTATCTTTAGACCAGGGCACAGAGCCCCGCTCAGTCCGATGAGGTTACCCTGCCTTTGGAGAGAAGGACAAACACCGGCAGCCAGGCCCACAGGACCTCCTGCAAGCAGCTAAAACACAGCAGGCAGAGTCCAGCTGGACGTGCCTTTCTGTCCCATACACTGTTGCCATGTAGGTGGACGTACAGTTTGTTCGGATGATGAAGCGTTTCATCCCACTGGCTGAGCTCAAAACCCACCACCAAGCGCACAGAGCCACTGGCGGTCCCTTAAAAAACATGGCTCTCTTCACCCGCCAGAGACTCTCAGTCCAGCCCCTGACCCGAGGTAAGAACGGCTCTCGCCTTTTGATCACATGCCAGAGTGACCATGAATTCACATGTACTAGCTGGTGAACCCTAGGCACGGTGGTTAAGGTCTGAGTCTGTCTTCCCACCTGTAACTCCCACGAGGGAGGAGCCCCCTCGAGCTGCCCAGGGCAGCTGTGCTCCGCACCTGTCGAAACGCCCCTGAGGGTTCTGGGTGAACGACTACCTGCCTCGTGACTTGAGAAATGCCTGCCATGACTGCCTGTTCAGGAGGAGACACAGACCTAATTCTTCCTCTTCTTCTTGCCCTTTTCGGCAGAGGAGTTTGATTTTATTTTGAGCCTGGAGGAAAAGGAGCCCAGTTAATGGAGACACAGCTCTGCTGAAGTGGGCAAGATGTTGCCCCAAAGTCAAGCTTCCACAAGACAAAAGAAGGCGTGGGGAACATGCTGGTTGTGTTCACCTGGCGTTGTGTGTAGATGTCGGGTTTGGGTCCTTTTTAATAAAACATGAATGTCTGAGTTGGAGGCGTTTCTTTAAAATCAGCATCGGGGGTAGAATACTCCACTGCACGTTTTTACATCCCCTCGGCCAGATGCAGGGCCCAGTCTGCTGACACCCACTAACATGGATCGTCTCTACACCAGCCTTCCTTAACCGACCCCTGAAGTATCTGGTCCCAGAGTGGGTAAAACCAGCAGTTTCAGGACAAGTTGCCAGACTGGAGTAAAACCAGAATTCCTTTCTCAGCCATGTGCTTGTCTAAAACAGGCATTAATAAAGTGGGTGTCATTGTTCACCAGGGGCCACA